AATTTTGTATTATTTAGTGAGAGAACATCATCTATATAGCGGAACGTAAAGTTAAAGGATATTGCTAACTTTTTATCTTTCTTCATAAGAAGTTCCTGTATGAAGTCAGCCTCATAATAATAAAGAAACAAGTCGGCAAGAAGAGGGACACAATTGGTTCCCATTGGAATTCCGACAGTCTGTTGAAAAACGCGTCCTCCAAACGTAACAAATATGTTGTCAATCAAGAAATCAAGAAATCAAACTTCATTAATCGATAAAGAAGAAAATTCAAGGTAGAAACAGAATCTGAGGTAATCGCATGAGGTAAGCGTCTCCTTCTATGTACGCCAGATCATTTGAAGTTTGTAGCATTTTTTTTTAAAAATTAGAGTGCTGCTAAAATGTTTCAGATTTCCACACTCCCCTGTGTTTTATCAGACTTTAGCGAAATTCTAGCACGGCGGTTGTTTAAATGAGTAAACAGAGGTAACTGAGGTAACTCGAGGACACTGAACATGTAATGAAATCAAGTAAATGTGAAATTCAGAAAGAAATTCATTTTTTACAAAATATTTATTTTCAATGGTAAATGAAATTGGTAAATTGATTATTAATTACGAACTATGCTTAATTACAATACTGTTAATACTCTTATTGATATTTGCATTTTTGGAACTATGCTGAAAAAAAAGAATAGATCCATTACTGTCAGTTGTATTGTGAGGATTTCCCCGGCTGATCTTAAAAACGGACTGTATATTTTTTCTGAAGATTTCCAAACATATAGGACAATAAGACGGGGTTCCAACAAAAATATTCAACAATGCATTACATATAATACTATTTATTTTTCAAAGTCCTGAAATTTAAGAAGAAAAAGTTGTTTTGTTGATTCATAGACTTTAGAAGGCATTCAAAGTCGTTGATCCCCTTTTTCGTTCCCCATTTTTGTGATTACTGACAAGATTTCCTTTCCAGTAAAATAAGATCAAAGTTAAAATCGATTTATTAAAAAATTGAGTTGGATGTTTCCGAATTATAGATACAATGGATAAGTGTTGATTCTTGAAAAAGAAACCCTGAGCTCGGATGCAACAGTAGTATACCGCTGTTCAATAGTAATAATTCGATAAGAACTTGTATGACGGCATCATACAAGTAATTACTTGTACAAAATGTTTGTATAAGAAATAACTTGTACAAAATAATAACATGTACACGTCATATATAAAATAGACATCTAATTGCAACACATTGGCAGCCGAGAGGTTTCGCCGATTTGTTGATGTCAGTGATACATAAATAAAGGCAACAGTAGTATACCGCTGTTCAATAGTAATAATTCGATAAAGCAAATACAAATCCGGGTAACAAACTAAATCCGAGGGAAACACATCAACTATAAGAGGAAAACAACGGAACAACAAAAACACTGAACTACAACAAAAGCAAACGCCAATATACATAGAAACGGAGTGTTTGAAAACAACTGCCATATTCCTGACTTGGTACATGACATTTTCAGAAAAAATGGATGGCCAAACCTCCCGCTAAAATGGCAATGTTAAAAATACAGCTGAAATGATAACACTACGTGACTGCACGTCCGTTGGATCAACGTAACAAAAAGTGACGTTTATATTATCACTAGTAAATTTCGAAAAATAAAATAGATTTGTTTTTTTTAAAGACACGTACAAGAATACTAAATTTGGATTGAGTTTGTAATGATGTTATTTTATGTATTTTCTTATCATGACAAGAATATTAAAATGGAATTGTGTTTGCTATGGTGTTATTTTTTGTTTTTTCTAACCATGTCGGTTTTTCTTCTAAATCAAAACTGTGTATAAACAAAAAAATCCTATGCATATAGTTGGTTTAAACTTAAAATCATAAAAATGAAGTAGCTGATTTGTTATCTTAACTTTTACATACATATAAAAAATTTAAAAAAAATAACTGTGATATAAGGCAAGATCATGTAAGACCAAACAGTAAACACATATAAAAACAAACAACATAAAACAAAAAACCTGTAGACGAACTACGAGTAACTCGACTATACTGACAAATAAGACATATGTGAAATGTACCGAAAATACAGAATTCAAATCACAAACGAAAAAAAAAACAGACAACAATACAGCACAAAATGACCCCCCGGACCAACACGTATAAGAAAGTAACAACAAAATGGCCGAAAGCGGAATATATAAATACCGAACCACGTCGTTTCCAACAGCGAACATAATACAGTTCAAACTAAATGAATTAAAGGAAACAATTGAATATAATTTGGTGAGTCCATTTCAGCGACAGATTAAGGAATAAGGAAGCGTTGATTCACTTGCAAAAGGAGCGGAATGTTTCAAGTGGATATCGTAAAAAGTTGAAAAATGACAAAATCAAGATTTCAATAATTGATATGTATAGAACACAAAAGAACCTAAATTTCACTATTGATAACAATTGTATCGAGATAAATAATGATTTTTGTTATTTTGTTATTATGTTCACGAAATAAATAATACAGCATTAAACAAAAAAAACTATATCTACAAAGGCATTGAATGCGATGTATATACAATTCAAATAGGTAGGATGTATCAGTTTTTTAATTGTCAGTTATTATTTTTGATAGAATAATTAAAACCATTCACAATATGGATGCGAAATGTCGGGATTTAGTTAGAAATAAGAAGAAGTGGTGATATTGAAAATAATACAACTTATCACCAGAGACCACATTTCGTAGATGTACGCAAATATAGGTCTACGTAAGCCTTGTGCACACCCATACCGTTTAGTAAGCTACAAAAGTTCCAGGAAAGAGGAAATATAATAAAACATTTCAAACGAAAAAAAAACCAAAGAACAATACCCGAAAAACAACAAATATGATAGACATCGATCAACGACAACAACTGAATAACCGGCTCCTGACTTGAGACAGGTACATGAAGAAATGTTGCGGGATTATGCAAGATTGCGAGAGCTCACTCTCCTCCTAACTTCGGTAATTTGTGTAACAGCATAACACAAGAAGACACTTAAAAAATCAATTGGAAAGACACATCGTATCCACAAAAAGCACAATAAACAACGACCAAATAGACAAAAGACTCAAGCATTGCCTTTTCCTGTACATTTCAACTTTATAATTATAACAAGAGAATGAATCAAAATACAACTTCTATTCCGCACATACGGTTTAGATCCTGACCAATTGTTCACAATTTGTAACAAGCCAAACAAGCTGTATTATTTTGTAGTAAAGTGAATAATTTGTTTACTACTCATGTAAGGATATAAGTATTTAAAAAGTAAACACGACAAAGTTTAAAAACTCCACCTTCATTTTATTTTTTTTTCTCTTATAGTGAAATACTTTATACGAGAAATGTCAGATGCGTTAAATTAATTTGTGGTTACTAGACTCATTTTTTTTATTTGTCAAATAAGGATAAAACACACATATGAAACGTCTGATTCGTTAATTATTACGTGGTTACTTAACTAATTTCTCAAGCAAGGATAAAAAACCTATATTTATATCATAAAAACTATCATGGAGTGGGAAAATTATTGAAACCATTTTCAGCTAATAGTTACATAGGAAAAATTGCAACATATGTTTTCATATGTTTAACATATGTTTTTCATGTGTTTGAAAACATATGTAAACATATGTTTAGGCCCGACATGAAAACATATGTTTTCGAACATATGAAAAACATATGGAAAACATATGAAAAACATATGTTTTTAAAATCATATGAAAAACATATGTTTTTCATACATGTAAACATATGGAAAACATATGTTTTTCATATGTTTTTTACAAACATATGTTTTTCATATGTTTTCATACCTGGCCTAAACATATGTTTTCATATGTTTGTCCTAAACATATGTTTTCATATGTTTGGCCCAAACATATGTTTTCATATGATTTTATCTTGGTCCTCAATATATATTTTTTATATGTTTTTAATTGTTCAAATGCATTTATTTTCTCATAGATTCTAAACATGGTTTGTATATATATGTATTTTTTTTTGCGGTAGGTTTTTTAGAGTTATGTTTTGATGTTTTAATATGGTTTTCTTTATTATCTTTTTTTCTGTCAGGAACTCATTTTGAGTGTAAATACTTCATTGTGATGAGCTGTTGCTTTAAAAAGTAAATAACCCAAAATACCAAACTCCACAGAAAATACATGGCAAAATCAAAAGCTCAAACAAATAAAAAACAAATGTATACAGGCATTCTTTTATGCAGAAAAATAACAGTGCTCCATAATTTTTATATCAAGTAGAATTTTTTTTTTATTAACTTGTTGTCTCTTCTATTTTCATATTTTTGTCTCTTTGACATACCACATTTCTATTGGCTAGTATATTCTATTTTGGTTTGTTTGTCTCTTCGACTTTCACCATTTCTATTGTCTATATTCTATTTTCATATGTTTGTCTCTTTGACATACCCCATTTCTATTGTCTATATTCTACGTTCATATGTTTGTCTCTTTGGCATACCCCATTTCTTTTGTCTGTATTCTATTTTTAATATTTTTGTCTCTGTCATACCCAAATTCTATTGTCTATATTCTATTTTCATATGTTTGTCTCTTTGATATACCGTATTTCTATTGTCTGTATTCTATATTTTCATGTTTGTCTCTTTGACATACCCCAATTTTATTGTCTATATTCTGTTTTCATATGTGTGTCTCTTTGACATACCCCATTTCTATTGTCTATATTCTATTTTCATATGTGTGTCTCTTTGACATACTCCATTTCTATTGTCTATATTCTATTTTCATATGTCATTATGTGTGTCTCTTTGACATACTCCAATTCTATTTTCCTATGATGTATGTGATATTTCTATTGCTATATCACCATACACAGATATGTAATTGTCTTCACTGCTGGCTATTACTGGTGCATGTGTATGCAGCTGCTTTTTTGGAAACATCCTGTATGATTAAGAAAGACAACTAAATTGACTTTGAGTTCAATATTGTATTAATCTAAAATTAACGTTCTTTGGTTCTGTTTCTTTACTTTTCAGTTTCTGCAAGTAAAAATAAAAGAACAGAGTTTCAATGTCCACCTAGTCGTACATTTTTTATCCATCAAGGGGCAATATTAAAAAAAAAACATGTTTTTTTGCTCTTTGGTCAGATTGTTGTCTCTTTGACATATTCCCAATTTCCATTCTCAATTTTATTTTTTGTTCTCAAAAATATTTATAAATAAAAATGTGTTTGGGGGAAAAAAAGTTCTTTTTCTTGTATACTAAATATTTCAAACCGACCAGGGCATTACTATAATAGTATACTACATCTATAAGTTTAATAAAAAAAAATGAGAGCATTTACGAGGCCATTTTCCATAAAATTTATTATTTCCAAGGGGCATAACTCTTTTGAAAAAAGTTGATCGGCCAAATTTATAAAGCTTGACTAGGATTATGCTGATATTAACCTATAGAATAAGTTTTAAAAAATCTGGCAAGAATTGTACCTGCAAGACAAATATAAACACCTTACAATCATTCCATAAACATAAAGTAGTTCACCTATACTTTTAGTATCTAAAAAAAAAGACCAAATCAAGAGAAATTTAATATTGACCAATGAACAATGAAAATAAGGTTAAGGTCAGATGAAGCCTGCAAGATAAATGTAAAGTTAAACCTAAACACCTTACAATTTTAATTTACAATCATTCCAGAAACCAATTATAGTTCACCTTTACCTTATAGTATCTGGAAAACAGACTAGGCAAGAAAAAAATATCCAATGAACCATGAAGATGAGGTCAAGTTCAGGTGATTACTGTCAGACCCATTGGTGGCCTTTGGCTGTTTTTTGCTCTTTGGTCGGGTTGTTGTCTCTTTGACACATTCCCCATTTCCATTCTCAATTTTAGATCAGTACACCTTACAAACATTCCATACACCAAATATAATTTACTGAATGCTTATAGTATCCAAAAATTAGACCAAAACATAAAAACTTATTACTGAACCATTAAAATGAGGTCAAGGCCAGATTACAACTACCAGTTGGACATCTACACCTTACAATAATTCCATACACCAAATACAGTAGACTTATTGCTTATAATGCCTGAGATATTGACTTGACCACAAAAACTTTCTGACAGAGTAGACAGACACTAGGACCTTGCAAGGTACCCATATACTAAGTAAATATAAATATCCTATTACCATGAATACTATAAATAATATTAATAAGAGAGAAATTATGAGAGAAATTATTATTAACATTACAAAAAATCTTTATTTTTTCAAGTAATCACTGAACCATGAAAATGAGTTCAAGGACAATGGACAGTTGACTGACAGAAACTTCATAACATACATATGCATCTATATACATTGTACATAGTATGAAGCATCCGTGTCTTCCACCTTCTAAAATATAAAGATTTGAAGAAGTTTGTTAACCCCACCATGGACGCAGCCGCCTGATCAATATCCCTATGTCGAGCTTTCTGCAACGGAAGTCGCAAGCTCATCAAAAAAACTAAGCCCATTTATTAGTTGAAATACAGAAAAATGAAAAAGAATATTTTCAACATTTTGCCTTGGATACTGTAGTTTGGTCATTAAGAAGCTTCGAATATGCTGTCTCAATTTCACAAAATCCCATGTCTGTTTGACAAAGTTATCAATGTTCAAAAAAAATTTAACCACAGACTGAACCTAAATTTTAGGACAGCGACGCTGCCTCTGGCAGAATCTAGGATCACTGTCTCGCTTTCGTGAAATAAATTTGCAAGCTTGACAAAAAGCAGAACATGTATTTCAGAAATTGAAATTCTATGCAACTATTAATACTTATATGCTGTTATGGTCCTACATATTCTTGTGTGTTCAATATTTTGGCATTACACAAAGTCATGCTTTCTTAGACTGTTTGAAATGACAGATGTTTTGTTGTTACATTAATTGATTAAATCTGTCGAAGGTGAACTGATAGATATTTTAGTTTGGGAATACATAATTTTTGCATCTTTTATTATTTTGTTATTTCTTTTTAGTGCTTGTTGATGAGTCCAGCCCTTTCTGGCTGATTCTGACATTTGGTTCTTATGTTGGGTGCTGTCTGCCATACTGTGTGTAGTTTTATTTTTTTTATTGGTTCACATTTTTTCATCCTTATACAAGTTACATGTAAAGCCTTATTGGTTACTTTATGGTATGGATTTTGATCATTGTTTATGGCTGTACAGTGACCAGCAAATGTTTACATCTTCGTCCTTTGGTTTTTTAATTGATAGTTGTCACATTGAGAATCATACATGTACCTCATCTCCTTATACATGTTATATCTATATGCTGGTTCATAAAAAAAGCTTAAAAGGCAATTATTCAATTGTTATACATGTATGTTTAAAAACTCATTCCTATAATGCAAAAACAATAATCGATTGATTTTTCTTGCTTATTTTAATGTTCAGTGGCAAATATTTTACAATGTATGTATATTTTAGACGAGAACAACTTTTAAATATACAATTTATAATATAAGCAAATGCTACAATTATTTGAACTTCTGTCATCTCATGCGTGTGTGTGTGTGGAGCAGAAGATGGAGAGCAGGATAAGGATTCCTTGATGCATACTTGACATCAGAAAGACATAAATAAATAACTAGTATATATATTTGTTTAGGGGCCAGCTGAAGGACGCCTCCGGGTGCGGGAATTTCTTGCTGCATTGAAGACCTGTTGGTGACCTTCTGCTGTTGTCTGTTCTTTGGTCGGGTTGTTGTCTCTTTGACACATTCCCCATTTCCATTCTCAATTTTATTAACAGTATACATGCCGTAACATGTACAATTACACTTGAAAAAGGTTTAAATAGATAACATTAAATTATTTAAATTAACTGCAATTCTACAGATGAACTTACTTTGATACCAGTTCTTTTTGCCGGACATCCGCATCTACATGTACACCAGTGATTCTAATACTGCACTTTCCTTTCATTTGGTAACCATGGTAATAAGCTAAAATTGTAAATCTTAATTTAATCCAGAACTCCAGACAAAAACTAGATCATTTTTGTAGATGAAGTATGAACTGATGCTCAGAGTCACTAATTTATATTTTTACTTTTGAGTGAATGGAAAAAATGTGTAAGCAAACAACAACGGTCGTATAAAAAGATCAACAGTGTAACTAATATTAATAATATATGTGTAGCCTAAGCCCGTCTTAGTATAGTATGAACTTTTTTCCAATATAAAATCATCTATTCTGCTGTCTACAGTTTAAAATAAAATGCTCTGCTGGGTGCAGCTTGATACGACAGCAGAGGTTGAACCCTGATGGTTGGGGCAAGTATGGATACAACATTCAAGCTTGATACAGCACTGAATTTGGATTGTGATTAAATATTTGACACAGCATAGGTTTCTGACACAGAATGAATGTGGTCTGAGAACTTAAATTTTTTTAATTTACCTATTCAAACCATATCATTATTATTTGCTTTTATATATAAATCAGAAATAACCAATTAATTTAAAATGGAAAATTTTAAACAAAAAAAAAAGGAAAAAAAAATCCCTCCCCCAAATTTTTTGAACCCCTTATGATTCATCACCCCCCCCCCCCCAAACTCAATCCCAGCCTTCTCTTTGTGGTATGGTACCTTGCAGTACAATTTCAGAGAGATCCATACACTTGAACACAAGTTATTGTCTGGAATCTAGAAAAATGTTTGTTTTAGGCCCCTTTTTGGTCCCAAATTCCTAAACATTTAGGGCAATTACCCCCAAACTCAAACCCAGCTTTCCCTTTGTGATTTGGAACCTTGTAGTACAATTTCATAAAGATCAATACTCTTACACACAAGTTATTGTCCTGAAACTAGAAAAATGCTTGTTTTGTGCCCCTTTTTGGCCTCAAATCCTAAAATTTTGAGGCAATTACCCCCAAAATCAATCCCAGCCTCCCCTTTGTGGTATGGTACCTTCCAGTGCAATTTCAGAGATCCATACACTTGAACACAAGTTATTGTCTGGAAACTAGAAAAATGCTTCTTTTTGGCCCCTTATTCCTAAACGTAGTTACCCCAAAACTCAATTCCAGCTTTCCCTTTGTGATATGGAACCTTGAAGTACAATTTCAGAAAGATCCATACACTTACACACAAGTAATTGTCATGAAACTAGAAAAATGCTTGTTTTTTGCCTTTTTTTGGGCCCCTAATTCCTAAAATTTTGAGGCAATTACCCCCAAAATCAATCCCAGCATTCCCTTTGTGATATGGAACCTTGTGGTACAATGTCAGAGAGATCCATACACTAACACACAAGTTATGTCTCAAAGTTACAAAAATGCTTATTTTTGGCCCCTTATTCCTTAACTGTTGGTACCATAACCCCCAAAATTAATCCCAACCTTTCTTTTGTTGTATTGAACCTTATGGTAAAATTTCATAGAGATCCATTCACTTAAACTAAAGTTAGAGTGCGAAAACCAATGTGTCTTCGGACGACGACGACGCCAACGTCATACCAATATACGACCGCAAAATTTTTTTTGCGGTCGTCTAAAAAACAACATTTAGGCATTAACTCTTGATGTTTATTAAATCTTGATTTCCTGTTACATAGGCAAAATTGTTTAAATACACCATTTATAGGCATGTTGTGGAATCTCAATAAATACTTATGATTGCAATGTACGTTTAATCGTTGTTGTAGCTATGAAATATATACAATAACGTCATTCACTACAGCGTTAGGGTTACAACATTACCATAGTTCAATGTTAGTACTTCGCGTATACTATTTTCAGACAAGGCAATATTAACTCATGAACATATTATGTTGTCATTTGTGTTACCATCCATACTTCATGCACTTAATAAAAGAACAGCGCTTCAATGTACTTCGCCAATTGATGGATATATAAAATTTGCTGTCAAAAAGCAAAAAATATGTATGTTCTTTTAACCTTTTTCATAAAATATAAATAATCTAAAAGAAATGAAGACATGTGTGGGATTGCTTGCAATGCAGTTTTTCTTACAATATCTATTTCTAAGAGGTATATAACTACTGTAAACATATTTGATCAGCAGTTATTTTCTAACTCATAAAACTAAAAGACCATGCTGATATAGACCTATGGTATGAATTACAAAAATATCTGACAAAAAAATGCAACCATAACAGTGCTTTACTGGAAAAAATGGTTATCTTCCATAGAATTTACATTTCAAAATGAAGTAATTCCTGTATAAATAATTTATCCAAGACATTACTGGTATATAATAAACCTTTGGTATACATTAGTATTATATGAATAAACTTTAGACATAGAAGTATGTCTTCTCTGTATGAAATCCTGTTAGTTGATTTCAAATGTTGATATTCAAATGACAATGCTTAAACATCCAAAGTCACACACCATCCATGACTTGACAAAGTTTCAAAATCAATAGACCATGACTGAGGGCTGGGCAAAATAAAAAACAAGGGATATGAAATGTGCTAGTACTCTGACATATACAACTGCATATCAATTCATGCAAATATCAATGATTTATCATTATTGGTTCACTCAAACTGACCTAATCAGAAACTTTTCACATTTAAGTTAAGTAAAAATATCAAATTCAATCAACCATGACTGAGGGATTTGGACCATATAATCTCAATGGAAATGGAAATGAGAAGTGGATATCCTACTTCTACTGCAAAAAATATTATTGACTTATTTAACCATAACTCGGCCATAAGTTATTGTTTGGTTCCTCTTAAACTGACCTAATCTCAATTTTTAACAAATTGTTTATGACTTCGCCTCTGTTAAAAACAGCATGCCCAAGACTCACCTTCATGACTGTTGTTGCAAGACAAAAAAAAAAGAACAAGCAATGAAGTGTTAATAGAGCTTCCAACCCTATTTTCTATAAAATTGACCTGTGAAAAAAAAATTTGTCACTGCTTATAGAAATAGCCCACAACAAGAATCAAAACTTTCAACTCTATCATGTCTATGACCTCAAAACTTGCAACATGTATACAGTCTGACAACAACAAAATATTTAAACAAAGTTATCCTCTTCATTACATACCTCTCATCACAAAATTATTCATTGACTACTGCTCCTTTTATGCACATAAATCAATATGACAATCTATGAATCCACTATATAATCTAGAAAGCAAGGCCTCAAATGAATTCTGTTCTGTTGAAGTACATGTCCAAAATGTACTTTCATTGAAAATGCTAAAAGAAATAATGTATAACATGTTCAAATATATAATAAAATGAAGTTACAATACATCTGCCAAATTGCCTTAAATATTTTTATATGGCAAAAATGGCTTATTTTGATCTTTTAAAACAAGAACAACAGATCTAGACTTGCCCTGTTTCTTGTTGCTGTATATCATATTTGTTTATTTGTTCCTTGTTTTGTTTATAAATCATTATCAGTCTGTTAGTTTCCTCATTTGCATTGTTTAACATTTGTCATTTCCATTAAATGTCTTTTATAGCTGACTTTCTGGTATGGGCTTTGTTCATTGTTGAAGTCATCTTGTACATTTGTACCATAACTTTAATATACTTGTTAACTTCTATGTCATTTGATCTCTTGTGGAGAATTGGACTCTTCTCATTGGCAATCTTACCACATCTTCTTATCTTTATATTCACATTTAAGTAAATGTAAAGTAGACCATTCATGCACTCTAGGGTCCACTTCTACTTATAATGTACAAGGTGATAAGACCTGCCGCTGTAATAGCCTAGGTCATATTTTTCAGCTTAAACATATGTGAATAGGTGTGGAAAACTATCAGAAGTATAATACATGTATGATAAGGCTGAGAAATACTAGATGTTTATTGTTATAGTACTCAGTAATAGTAGTCTCAGACTCAGGATAATCAAGGCTTATTGTACTTGTCATATGATGGGGAGTAGGAGGGGTCCTGATCCCGAAATCTCGGGCTTAAAAACATGGAATTCTGAGGTCCTGAATTTAAAAAAAATTAAATCCAGACATCCCGAAATTCGAAAAAAAAGAATTCCCGGATCCCGAAAGGATCAATCCCGAAATCCCGAGCTTAAAAACACCTGATCCCAGAGTCCCGATAAAGGTCCTACCCCCCTCTCAGATGCAAAGCCCTGTAATTTTCTTACATTTGTGTAGTTGCAAGTCTCGTTTTGCCTTAAGTTAACATAAAATAAGGAATTTGAGCCTCAGATTTGAGCTTTAATCAAATGTGATGATTTTCTCGGTAATACCGGAATGTGATTTTTGTCCGCTCCTGCATGTCCTGGAATCATTCATTATTAAAATTGGGAAAAGGTTACATGTACATTATTACCTACAGGATGTATGAAAAGGTATATATACATTTTTTAAATCTAAATTATATGAAAAGAGGGGAGTAATTGATCCCCAGTGGCACCCCTATCTATTAAGTGTAAAATAGCTATTAATTGCTAGAGAGATAATAAAGTCGTCTACATTTTCATGGTTTTAAAACAACTGAAAAACAAATACAAATACCACACATGTATCATAAGATATACAGGTCTGCATCAGTTAAAGTAATTAAGTTCTGTTGTGACATTAGATAAACAATTTCAATACATTACATCAAGTATATGATATCCCCCCTTTTTCCAAGTTTGTCTTATTGTCTAAAGGGTTTACAAATTATATGGTTATTTGGGATGTATTTGTGTCTAAATCTTGTAATATCCTCATTATGAAATATAAATAGACAATGAAACGGATTACCCAAGGCAATTATATTTATATTACAATATGGGGGGGTCAATGTCGTTCTTAAATTTCGGCAGTATATTAAGAGAAATCTTGGTTATTTAACGAAAAAATTCACTCAAGATAACGGTAAGTGTTGCTGAATTTATCAACTGAGTGGAATTTAGACGGGTCTTTACTAAGTTTGGCCATAAACTGTGTTTCATAACAGTACAGGAACACGTCTGCCATTAAAGGGGTACAATTGGTGCCCATAGGAATACCTACAATCAGTCGATAAATTTTATTACCGAAACGTACATCAATGTTGTCAAGGAGAAAATTTATGGCTGTAACCACCTCATCACACCTCCAGTAAGTATTTCTAGCATATTTACCTTTCTCGTTTGAGAAAAAGGTTTTATTTGAGTTGCAGCAAATACATTTGCAATTAGATTTATCAAACGACTATCTAATTAAATACAAAAACTTTTGTTTGATAAGATTATGTGAAAGTGTAGTGAAAAGAGTGGAAAAGTCAAAACTGTCATCCGAATCAAAAGGACCACTAAAAGCTCGTAATTAATCAAAAACATCCAAAGAAATTTTTACACACAAATGGTTAATTCCACTATATTGATATGTTTTATTACGAGAATTAATGATCAGTTCTTTTAGTTCCCTAATACTATCAAAGAACCTATCATTAATTTGTGTAATTAACCATATGAGAATAAGGGAATTGAGTATTTCTTGGCTTCTCCACATTACACTTCGAAAAATATGCGACAAAACGGACACCTTTTCGTTCCCTATTGTTTTTTGTGTGTGTTTTTTTGTTTGTTTGTTTGGAGAGAGATGTTCCTTAGGCCAAATCTTACGATGTAAATGTATCATTACTTGTTTGCTATACCCGTGTATGTAGTGACTTTTTAGATTTCAAAAACCGTAATCATTGTATAACTTATAAATTACAATGAAAGGAATTTCGATATCTTGAATTACTTAAACTTTTACTGAATTCTTTCTTAGATACAGTTTGGTTTGGAAGTTTGGTTGTGCCTGTCTACAACTTAAAAACAGGATATCACATCCTGATTTTTACGGTGATCTTATTTATAGATCCCGAGAGTTTAGTTTAGATCCGTGTAGACATATAAATCCTTTAAATACGATTATTCTAACAATTTTCCAAATGAAATAAAATCTCTACATATTGTTTGAATCGGTACAAACATTAATTTTGTTACCAATGAATTAAAATATAATAAAAAAATTACTGCAACACAGCAATGAACAATTTAAGTTCTATATTACACTGGACATCCGTTGGATGTGAAACAATTAATAATGAAATCTTAGGAGCATGCTTTTATATTTGTTTTGTTTTGCCTGAAAAAAAAATGTCAGTAACTGCGAGTACACCCAGAACTGTACTTTGTGTTTTGATTTTTTGTGCTTTGTATCAATCTGCTGAGTCAAGCCCTTTTCAACTGATTATCATAGTTTATTTCTTATGCTGTGTTGTTACACGACTGTCCTGGGTTAGTGGGAGGATTGGGAGCCTGCAAACTTTTTTTTTACCCGCCACATTCTGTTCTGAATTTTCCTTTTCTAAGTGAGTAGCCTGTAATTCAGGTATTGTTGATTGCTGCTTTTTATCATATTTGTTTTTTTCGTTTATTATTTGTACATAATTCAGGTCATTTGTTTTACTTTTGTCATGTCGGAGCCTTTTATGGCTCGATTTTCGGAACAGATTTTGGTCATTTTTTAAGGCGACATATATAGGTGCTAACAGATACGTTATTTAAGTCTATGGTGGAAGGTTGTCTCATTTCCAATCATACCCCAACTTCTTTTTTTTGTACGGCTATTGTCTATGGTCTATCAATTAGTCACAAAATATAAGAAAAATAATGTAAAATATGAATGTCTATCCAAATGTAAGAAGAAATGGGTTTAAGATAATAACTTAACTTTTAAAGATGGTAACACATATATAACAACAACGACAATAATAACAAGGATATGAAACAATGGTAAAATTTTTGTTATAATTATCATTATTTCTATTATTACTGTTATTATTATTATTTTTGTTATTAATAACAATAAAAATTTTTATTATCAATAGTATAACAAGAAAAAGTAGAATAAGAAATGGGCAACAAAATATTGTGGTCAAAAGTAATAGGACGACCAAAAGCAGTCTATAAAGCATTTAACCTTAAGCTAAACAATAAACTCACCTGGTTTGTTTGAATTCAGACGGGTGAAACTTTCAGATGTTTATTTTACATGTGAAAAGTAAAATAACAAAATACAGAACTTCCAGGAAAATCTAAAACGGAAAGCCCCTTGTCAAATAGCAAAAGTAAAAGCTCGAACACATCAAGTGAATGGAAAACAACTGTCATATTCCTGACTTGGTACAGGCATTTCCTTTTGGGTATCAAATCTGGTTTTATAGCAAGCTAACCTCTCACTTATATCACAATGTGTGAGCAAAACAAACAGAAATAATAGGTGAAAATGTCAAAAATAGGGTTAGAGCAGTCAACATTGTGTTATAATCAAGTATGCCAACAAAGAAAAACGAAATGGCTCATAGACAAAACGCATAAGGAAAAATTAAAGACAAGAATACAAAAAAAAAAACATAGCACAATAACACAATGGAGGGATGTATAAGTACCGGTCCACGCCAAAAGGATATTACCAATAATGGAGTAAACAGTAACAGATTAATAATTTACAAAGACAAATAAACGAACACTTTAACACGTAATTAAGACGATAAACAACGTCAGTACCTATAATCTATACTTTAAGACCATCATGTATGATTTGTGAAGTTGATATGGTATATTTATCAACAAGGTCTTGGTATCTTCCGATTAACTTTTTTAGAAAAAAGGACGAGACGTTCTTTGACAGAACCCTGGTTCATGAACTTTCTGCTCAGACACTGGTGACGTTTTATAAAGTCTGAGTAGCAACTGCAAGCTCCTGAATTATCAGATTTATTTCACATGTGAAATTATCGGTATTTAAACACTAACGAATCACGGTAATTCATTGCAACCAATGTAATAAAATAAGCTACTCGCTTAAGATAGAAAATTATCGTTAGAAACTAAGGGCGCACGTGCATTGCCAATGTAAACATCAGGGACGTCAAAGAAAAATTGCGATAAAAAGATCATCAGTGGTCTTTCAGACTCGAGGTAGTGATTGGTGCTCCGAAATAGTACAGTTTCTGCTACATTTATGAATGCATTTGAGTTTTTGTGACAAGAAAGAAACCTGTGATAAGTCTTGTTTGGTAATAATCCATGAACATGGAAAGAAACACAGATTCGTAGCAACAGGTAACTGTTAATAATCATGGTATTCTGTGATAGACATATTGTTTTGGGATCGACAAATTAAAAAAGAAAAGGACACAATACATGTAATACGCTGAAAATTTAAAAAGAGTACAAGCTGAAA